ATTAGAATTTGGCTACAGATTTTGTATTGGTAGGATCTGTACCTGAAAATCAAAAAGTAACACTATATTTTACATAATACTTATCAAGATCTATTACTTCTGTCTAAAGGACAGGGCTGTAATAGTTTAAATGCAGATAGGATGCTCAGAGCAACTAGAAATAGATTCACAGCTGCATATTTAGCTGAGAACTTTGAAACACTAAATGTAATTTTCTATCATCTTGTTAAGAACTACACCAAGTTTCTCCTAATCTATTGGTATCACTGCAGTATATGAATGTGAATCACTTCATAAAACACAATTTAAAAGTAGACTTGTTACAAAGTGTCTAAAAGCAAAATTAACTCAGAAAAGCTCTTGAGGTTGGAGTCGCAGACAGCTAGACTGAGCTATAGGTTCTAAAAATGCATTATTATTAGACTGTAGTCTTAAAAAGCTTTTGTTCCATCATTTAAAAAAATCTAATCAGCATGGATAAAATCTATTACATTAATACAATGAATTCAATATAACTGTAGTTTTTAAAAAATTGAGGATTCTGAGCTTGACTATTCCTGACATCACCTCCTACAGCCCCCAACACATGCAGTAATACAAAGCCACGTCACTAATGACATTTGAAGCTTTACTTGTACCTTCATTTCTGCTGAGTTCAATGTCGGCAAACAACCCAATCTTGATGACTTGCCACAAAAGTCCCAGGACCAGGTAAGGCTTCCCCTCCTTTAAGTCCTCAGCCCCGATGTTAACCACATGGCATCCAATGGCTGAGGCAGAGTTCAGAGCCAGATTCAAATTCTCCTGCGGGAGAAAAAGTATGAAAGTTTTAAAAAAATCTTTATTGTTGAAACTATTACATATGTCCTCCTTTTTCCCCCCATTGACCTCTTCCAGCCCACCCCCTCCACCCCAGGCCTTCACCAACCTATTGTCTGTATCCATGGGTTATGCATATATGTATACAAGTTCATTGGTTGATCTCTTCCCACCACCCACCCTCCCCTGCCATTCCATCTGAGGTTCGACAATCTGTTCGATGCTTCTATGTTTTAGATCTATTTTTGTTCATCAGTTTATGTTGTTCATTATATTTCACAAATGAGTGAGGTCATGCAAGTTTTGTTTTTGATTTTGCAAATACTAAATGATGATTCCTGATTGGCAGCAATAACAATATTTTGTTTCTGGAAACTTCACAGGTGTAAAGGCACTAGATTTTGACATTGAGAAAAGCAGTGAGTAATAACTGGAAAAGGAAATCCAGTAACCCAGACACAGGGCTTATGTAGTACCTAGTCAATCAAACCAGAACCCTGAGTTGAAGACCCATTCTGGTCAGGCCATCTTGCTATGTGATGGTGCCTTCACACTCAATATCTCCATCAGCCAGAAAAAAGGGGGCACCTTTGAGGGGAGAACATACCCTCATTACCTTGTCACTGTCTATCATTAATAACACAATTGTTATCAAGGTCACAAAAGAGAGTAAGAAAATAGCTTTTTGACTTTCAGGTTTTGTATTAAAGGAATAAAAAATGTATAAATCAAATTTGTAGAAAAGATAGAGTGGTTCTTACTAGGACAATTTGTTGAGTATTGGTAATATCTAGGGACCTTGAGCACATACACATCTACACAAACACACACCCATGTGTTCACACACACACATGCACACATGTGTATAGATTATATGTTGTTATCACTAACAACAATGTATATAATGTAACTCACAGTTGGAATACTGTGAGTCAGTGAAATTTTCAGTCTAGAATCTATATACTATTCTTAGGTTCAACAAGGAGAATTTACCAGAGTCAGAGATGTATAGAAGTTGGTTTTATGATAAATTAACAAAACAAAATACTGGCCACTAGTCAAATTGGGAAAGTAACTATGAGAAGAAAAGTATTTTTTTACCCTAGTGTATAGTTCAAATGATGAGTGAAAAATACCAATTCTTCTGACCAACATTATGAGTAAATTTAACATGAAGTTCCTTCATATAGGTTTAACATCATTGTTCTCTTTGGTTAACAATTCCATTTTAAAAGTACACAGGGTTACCAGGCCAGCATGGCTCAGTGGTTGAGCATCGACCTATGAACCAGGAGATCACGGTTTGACTCCTAGTCAGGCCACATGCCCAGGTTGTGGGCTCTATCCCCAGTGTGGGGCACATCTGATCAATGATTCTCTCTCATTATTGATGTTTCTATCTCTCTCCCCCACTCCCTTCCTTTCTGAAATCAATAAAAAAATATATATATTTTTAAAAGTCTTCAGGGTTGCTTAAATCCAAACAGGATGTAATTTATTGTTCATGATTTAAGAAATGAGACATGGTTTCCCAGCAAGAGAATTACAATAATGTTAAATACTGGAACATAACATAGAAATACAGCTTACTTACTATTGGTTGATTATTGTTCCAGTTAATCAACTCACTGAAGGTGTACAAACAGGTTATATTTATCACTCTGGTGGCTGCAGCAAAGAGCACTTCGTAGGCTCTAAGAACACTTGCCGTTTTCACACCCTCACTTTTAGAAAGTCTTATCTTTTCTGCTAAAATGCTATGTATCTGGCATCAGCTCAACGATAAATTGCTGGGGTAAGTTTAAGTTAAAACTTTACCAATGTGAATTTTATTCATAAGCGGCCAAAACAAAGAATTCCCAAACTATTCACACCAGGCTAACCTTCTCCCACTTCCAATACCCCATCCCCCACCCCTGTTATTTTCATAAAAGAACAAACATAAATGTGTTCCTGTATCTGCACTAGTCATGACAATCACCAGCCCAAAGCCTGGGGCTAGGGAATAATGTCTGAGCCCTGAACAAGTGTGACTCAGCACTTCTGGTGAGCATTCATTCCAAGCACAATCCTCTTTGAAAGTAACAGAGGGAAGACATACCTGAATGGTGAAAGGGGTGAGTTTCTTTTTGTTTATTGTTCTTTCATCAATTGTGTCAGGCACTGATAGGTTGATCATTTTACTGAAAGAGAAACAAGTTAAAGAAATCAGGCTTCTAAATAATAGGGCCCAGTAACACTGAATTTAAATTCTAGCAATATCATAAAATGGTAACATAATCATTGCTATCCGGTGTTTAGATATAAAATCAGTTATGCAATTAAAATTTTTTTCTATGTTTTTATTGATTTCAGAGAGGGAAAGAGAAAGGGAGAGAGAAATAGAAACATCAATAATGAGAGAGAATCATTGATCAGCTGCCTCCTGCACATCCCACCCCTGGGGGTTGAGCCTGCAACCCAGGCATGTGCCCTGACCAGGAATCAAACCATGACCTCCTGGTTCATGGGTCGACGCTCAACCACTGAGCCACACTGGCCAGGCAGTTATGCAATTTTGATGAGATTCAAACCATCTGTAGGAAAGGTTAATATTCCTAAACTCATACTAATATATTGAGCCAAAAAATAAGGACCCCACTTCAGTCACTTACCTTAAAAGCTACAAAATTTTCCTGGTTTCCTTAGCATATTATGAAATTCTGGGAGGAGAGCCAAAGCAAATCCTCCATGAGTACTTCACTTTCTCAGGCATAAAAATTGTTCCACTACATAAAATATTATACACTTTTGAGCTTATATGATGTCTCAATTTCTATTTGACACCTGGTCAAACTCTATACCTTTAATTAGTCACCTGATAAAATTTTTATATCTTCCTGTAGTCATTATTGAATCAACACTTTAGAAATTTCACCCATACAAGTAGCTAATACATTGATTAGACAGCCAAAGCCAGCAGGTATTGTTTATGAAAAACTGATTTTACCCAAGTCAGCATTGATTTAACCTTCAATGGGACATAAAAAATAAATTTCCTTAGTTCACCTCCATCTTATTTTTAAAAAGCGAATTAGAATAAAAATACAAAGAATAACAAATTCAAAGAATATTAAATTTGACTATGGCTATTTCTTTTTTTTAATGAGATTAGAAATTACATTAACAATTTTTCCAACTACCTTTTTTTTTGGTGGTGGTTGTTTAAAGATGTATTTCTATAACTTTTTCATGTATATATACACATATTTAACTAAAAGGCATTTTACTACAATATAGGCAAAACAAACTCCTAAATCGTAATTTGAAAAAATAGGAAATTGGAGTGAACCAGAAGCTCTGGGAGCTGGTGCTGCAGAGAGGTGACTTTAAAAAGTGGGAGATACCCATGCCATTGAAAAGTGTGTAATCCAATTACAGAGACAAAATATCTGGATATAAAAAGATAGTAATAGTCCAAAGCAGGACATTATTATGGCTTCCAAAGTATTACAAAGAACATATGTTTTAAGAATTCAGTTAAGGCCCTAGCCAGTTTGGCTCAGTGGATAGATTGTTGGCCTGCGGACTGAAAGGTCCCAGGTTCGATTCTGGTCAAGGGCATGTACCTCGGTTGCGGGCACATCCCCAGTGGGGAGTGTGCAAGAGGCAGCTGATCGATGTTTCTCTCTCATTGATGTTTCTAACTCTCTATCCCTCTCCCTTCCTCTCTGTAAAAAAATCAATAAAATATATGTTTTTAAAAAAGAATTCAGTTAAGGAAGAAATCAGTGGAGGTTGGAATAGACCAGAAACTTACACCACAATTGGATCTGTATAGAAGGAAAGGATGGGGAAGGGCATTCTTAAAAATAAAAGGCAAAGCCACAGTTTCAAATTATAAGCAAGATACTATATGCTTGCTGTCATTTATAAAGCCATGTATTCAGTACCCTGGACTGGGTTCCTGAGTCAGGGGGCATTGGAAGGTAAAACCAGAAGATTGATGGGGGAGGTTGGGTGCCAACCAAAGGAACCAGGACTTGATCCTATAGGCTAGGTTGTGTGTGTGAGTTTTTAGCAGTTGAATGTTTAAAAAATGAACTCTAATAAATAAAATATCAAAAGCAGAATTGCTCTGGTCAGAGCAGAGAAAAGGGGCTTAAAGTCTTGCCCACCTATCCCTCCTTTCAACACATGGACTCACCTGAGATTGAGCATTTCAAGCCTCCTCACTAATACCATGTTTTATGATGACAGAGAAGCTGCCAAAGCAAGAGCTGCAGAGGCATTTTCAAAGACACCATCGTGAATTGACCAGCTGTGTTCTGAGACCTCCCAAAGAAGAATACATTCCTCCTTTTCAGGTGCCCTCAGTTGTGTATTTGTGTGCACCACTTCCAACTCCCTTAGCATAGGACTTCCACTGTATTAGTCTGTTATCATGCTGCTATTATTAACTCTGTCTACTCTCACGTAAGCCATGCTCCAATGAAGCAAAGTGGCATATATCCCCCAAATAATTGCCTGGACCGTGTATCACTGTATCTCTATGTTTATGTTTGTCTCTATACTGTGCATCCTTCTTCTGCACTTAAAAAATAGTAGTTTCACATTTATTGTTATAATTTGCTCTTGACAGTAGGTTTCTCTCCTGGACCTGCCAAGTAAAAGTCCAGAAAAGCATTTCAAGTCCAGCTGACACCTATAGAATTTGGTTTAGGATAAACACAATTAATTGTTGGTATTCCAGAAAATTCTAGTGAAACCTTCGGAAACCAAAAAGGAAGTGTTACTTACCAAAGGACGATGCCGTCCCCAACGGCATTGAAGAGATCATTCGTGTTTGGATTCATTGGGATGACATGCCGACAGTCAGGGTCATTTTCCAGGGCTTTGTTTATCCAATTAACAAAGGCATACTTCTCTTCCTCTGCAAGTAAATGATTAAAATGGATTATTTGCAAAGTAAAAATCTAATATAAAAATTATACCTGTGGATCTTAGATTCTCATGCTCAGGAGAGACATTGCAAGGTCATCTCACCCATTATCTGATCTTCTCATATTTATTGACATTTAAAAAATCTTCGATGACTTGGGATATAGCACAGACTCTCTGCTCACTCCAAGTCAGAAAACATACAGCAAGCAGATTTAGAAGCTATATATATGTATACATATGCAATTATTTTATACTTAAAAGCAAGTATATAGCTATATTTTATATATGTAAATATATATAAATAATAAAGTATATTTTCTTTATATTTATATATAATTTAAATATAAATGTGATCTAATTCTTACAGAATAAAACTGGGGGCTCTGCCTTTATCCATGCTGATTTTTAAATGTGGGATGATCACAGGCAATCTTTGCAATATCTCTAAATTTTTTTATAATGAAATTACTATGAAATGAAATAATTTGTGATATAATCTTTCTTTCCTACCAGTAAAGCTGCCAGAGGTCAATTTTAGAAATTTTAATAAAACTTCAAGTTATGCCCAGCACTATGATTGTCAATTTGTGTGTCATTGAAAGCAACAGTATCCCTCAGAAGAATCCTAAGTCACAAAAGTTTGAGAAACACTGTATAGCATATCACTGTCTTGAAGTTTCATAATGTACATTTATATAGCAAAAGGCTATGAAAATTTCTGTATTTCAAAATAAATGGCTAAACTTTGTCTTAGGAATTGCAGATGCTACTTAACCATGAACTTATCTTTAAGAACAACTAATGCTTTGAAGAACTCAGTTTGGGGATTGTTGGATTATTATACTGTTTGAGCTATTATAAGTTTCCATCAAGGTTGTTGGATGACAGCTTTCAGAACCTTCAGAATAAATATGCAACTTTCTTCCAAATCAATGAAAATATAATTTTTTGGACTATTCAGTTGGCATTAAGAATAAACATGGCCCTAACCAGTTTGGCTCAGTGGATAGAGCGTCAGCCTGCGGACTGAAAGGTCCCAGGCTCGATTCCGGTCAAGGGCATGTACCTTGGTTGCGGGCATATCCCCAGTAGGGGGTGTGCAAGAGGCAGCTGATCGATGTTTCTCTCTCATTGATGTTTCTAACTCTCTATCCCTCTCCCTTCCTCTCTGTAAAAAATCAATAAAATATATATTTTTTAAAAAGAATAAACATGAAATTTAAATGTAGAAGCCTGAGTAGCTCATTTTGTCCAAAAGATTTACAAAGCAATTTTGGCAGCCTTTAATGTATTTTTTAAATGCTGATAAGATTATTTGGGGGAGAGAACCAAGATGGCAGCATAGGTAAACACCTGTACTTGCTGCCTCTCACAACCACATCAAAATTACAACTAAAAGACAGAACAACTATCATCCAGAACCACGGGAAAGCTGGTTGAGTGGAAGCACTACAACTAGAGAGGTAAAGAAGAAAGCACATTGAGACTGGTAGGAGGTACGGAGGTGCAGAACGGGCTGGCACCCAGGTGTGTTGTTTTTTTAATCGGGAGGGAGATACAAGCTCCTGCTTGCTCTGCACTCCAGTTCCTGGAAAGACTATGGGGGACCCAGACACATATGGGGAGAAACTGGACTGTCTGGCATCAGGGCAGGAATGCTAGGGCGGCTTTCTTTCAGATGGAGGTGTTCGCAGCGGTCATTGTTCCTGTGCTGGGAACTCTCCGGTGCAGGGCTGACTGACAGCCATTGCTGTTTGCTCCACCCTGGTAATTCCCTGAGACCCTGCCCCACCCAATTTGCAACCCCACCCGAGCTGTACACAGCGGCTTTTGCATATGAATGGCCTGTCCTTTCTCAGCCTAAAACCTGTCAAACAGGCAGCAGCTGGGTCAGGGAGCCCCAAAGCTACCTAAACAAGGCCCAAGGCTGGCAGCAGCAGCCTGCCTTGCTTCACAGCTGGGCCTCATCTGGCACTTCCAAACTCGATACAAAGAAGAGGAATCTGCAGATCTCTCTGTAACTCCTGCTGGGTGGCCCCAGGCAGTGGCTGACTTTGTACCTCCTTGGAAATCCAAGATCCAGTGTACCCAGTGGTCAGTGTGAGACCATACCAGGTTACAACTCTTCACATTCATAAGTGACACACTCAGGGGGCAGACTCAGTGAGCACCAAAGCCCCACTGAAGCAAATCTTGCCCCATAAGGGTGTCTCCTGCACAGCAGCTCTCGCACTGTAGACACAGCTGGTCCTCACATCCAATTGGCCTGGAGGTCAATTCCTCCAGTGATACCAACAGCAATCAAGGCTTAACTACAACAAGACTGTGCACACAGCCCACAAAAGGGTGCACCAAGAATGTCCACCTCAGGTGATTGGGGAGGCTGAGCCTCTGGGCCCCATAGGACACCTAGCACACAAAGCCACTCTATCAACACAGGGAAGCAGCCAAAATGCAGAGACAAAGAAACATGTCACAAATGAAAGAAATGGAGGAAAGCAAACTACTGGATATAGAGTTCAAA